TATTATAATTATTGGTTTTAACTCTTATTAAAAATAGAAAAATTGTACTGCAAACCCAATCTGAAAAGTAAAACACAGTGAAAATTGTCAGAGTCCTGCTGGCTTACAAGCAAATGTATATAAAAAGTAACAGCAGTTGTGGGCATCACCGCAGATCCTTCTCTTGGCTGCTGAACTTTCTCTTCTAATCTCCGAGATAACAGCCTGCACATCACATGCAGGGGATGACATGGTGTGACCTTAGAGTTTGAAGACGTGTGTGTCTCTAAGGTGTCAGGGGGAGCAGAAAAAGACCAGTGTTAGATTTTTTTCTTAGCAGATGCTTCATTCTGGACAAATAATTGAAAAAGTGAGGTACGATTCAAACCATGTACACTACCGGTGTTGAAAATGAATCATGCCACTTGAATGAGGCATTAAATGTGAAGTGGCAATGATGCCTTGTCTATAGAGGAAGCCTGATGGCAAAGCAGAGCATTGCTGGCTCGAGGATTTGCATCAGTGCTGGCTCTCACATCATTAAATGACAGAAAGTGAGCCCATGTCCCTGGGAGGGAATGTTTGCCATCTACTTCCCTCTGTTGACTGAGTTACTGAAGTACACTACACTTGAAGTCAAAGCTCACAGACAATGAGGTAAGATTGAAAGGCAGACAATAAGCCAGATTCTTGGCATTGGTGAACTGGTGGAGCTTTGCTGAAAATATTACCATGGCTCAGGATTGGCCCACTTAGCTCATAGTTTAAGCAGCCAACTTTGTACAGGGCCACGCTCTCAAAAAGAAAAGCCATATCTTACGTGTATACACATTTGTAGGTTCTTCTCCCTCATCTTTTTTATGTCTAAATAATAGACACCCCAAATCTAAACTTCTCTTTGCATCAAGCTGACAGTCATAACTGACACTTGGCAAGAAATAAAGGAGGAAAATAAAGCAGAATTACTTTTTTTTTTCTTTTAAATTTCAGATGCAGGGTTTCAGGAGAGCTCCAGGAGTATTGCTTTTTGTTCCTGAAATATCAGTACACTCATACTGGCTAAAAGTTCTTCACAGAATGCTATGCACATGTAAAATGCATTATGGAGAGATACCTTTATAGAACTCTAACAGCTTGTTTGCACTGGTATCAGATTGGTGTGCCTAATAACTACCATCCTATTACACTCTGCCTTGACCACAGAGTATACATTTCTCTCTTTCGGACAGAGAGAAATGGCAGCAATGAGTCATGTTTAATGCTTATGTCATTTGACGTGAAAACCATTTCCACCAGAGACTAGCAAAGCTCTGGTTTGTAGCTTCTTTTGTTTTCTCACCACTTCTCCGGCATCCTCCTATGTGAAATTATGTTTCAGAATGCTAAAAAGGATGCTCAGAAGGTGTAATATCTACGTTTTTGATTTTCTGCTGACAGAAGAGTGTTACTCTGAGTGCTACTTCAGCTCTTTGGCAAGCACCCCTTCAAATTTGAACAGATTTGTGTTTGCCTGAGATGTTACAAAACAGCATGCCTGTGCTGAGAACCAGACCTCATCCATGACAAAGGCACTGCCGTGGTCTTGACACAATCCTTTCTTGGGCATATGGATGACTTTCTGGTGTCCCCTGATTCAGTCAAAAGAGCAGCATAGGCTCTGCATTGCCTTTTGAGAAGTGAACTGAAGGGCCACATCTCCTGCTAGACACTTGTCAGAGCTCACCCTGTGCTGAGACGCTGCTTCCACAGAGAGAGCTTAGAAATAACGTGGTTCTCTTTAAGAGAAGGTTTGTAAATCTCTTAAGACTTTTTGGCAACAAGATGTGATCATCTGTCCATCTGCAGAATGTATTGGCTGGCCAGCTCATAGTGGTGGTCAAAAATAGCCCTGAGATCTCCTGAACATGCCAAGGAATGCTGCAGCCCTCTTGGAGGCCTTTGATCAGAAGCACAGTCTCATGACTTGCTTGGCTCTGCTCAGCAGATACATGCTTTAGGACTCTGGTTCTGGCTGTCATCCCCGGGCCTCATTTATTGTTATCTTTACTTCAGGCCTATTCTGGTACACTCACTACCAGCAGATTAACTGTTCAAAGGTCAGTCATTTCTTAGCACCAGGGCAAACCAGGTCCTTCTTTCATTCAACTCCTATCCTCACTTGAGTTATTCTGCCGGGATCCTAATAACCGTGATACAGGGTCACTAGTGAGCTCTGCTGCTTCCAGCAATTCCTCCTTGTCCCATCGAATGTTCTGACTGATATGGCGTTTGGGAGCACACTGAAAATACACATCAGTAAAACGAGCCAGCATAAAGATTCTTCAGGTGAATCATTTACAAATATCTTCAAAAAGACTGATAAAGAAACTCCACTAAGTGTAGAACTCTTGTGGATTGATTAAAATTGTGATGAGTAATCTTTACTGTTGTTTGGTGGCCCTGCTAGGCAGGGGGGTTGGAACTACATGATCCTTGAGGTCCCTTCCAACCCGGGTGATTCTGTGATTCTGTGATTCTGTGATTCTGTTTTCACAGATTCCTAACTAAAATCTATACATATTTCCCTGCGTTCAGGGTTAGCACCCAAGACGAAGGGATACATTAGACAGGCTGTAAGGCTGTGGTTTGATTTTCTTATCTGGTGAAAGATTATTTTGTGACTGGGAATACTCTAAAGTAGGCAATGTCATCATGCTTTCATGGTGAGACCAATGCTGCCTGCATTTGGCACAAAAGGAGTTACTCTTAACACACACACTGCTCCTTAGGTATAGACCTGCATCTCAATGGAGAGAGACCCGCTTGTAGTTCTTGCACCAAATCTGCTATTTTGATGTCTTCATTTATGATACAAGGATAATTGGACTTGATAACCCCAGGGAAAAAACTGGAAAGTATCTCATTTGTGTCAGAGAATGGAGAGGTACAACTCCTGAACCAAGTCCCACACAGGGTCACAGGCACTAAACCTTAGAACTTCTCTTTCTTAGTAGGTGGCCAATGGCAGTATTTCCTTTGCTGGGTGTTTCTGCTTGTTTGTTTGATTCATTGTTTTCATTCAGCAGTTAGATGCAAGTATTATCTGAATAACGTGATGAATGGATGATTGCCATAGTTCCAGATTATTAGCAATGTTCTTTCCATTGTAGGTTATGATGTGGCATCTAGGTGAAAAGAGGATGTTATCTGAAGGGCCATAACATGTGCCCTATTTGATTTACTCCAGTGACTCTAAATGTTTCCCTTTCACAGTGACTCCGCTTTTCAACTGTGAGATCTTGAACGACATATTTGGAGCTCGATTCAACATTATGGAACAAATTCCTGTTGATATCAGTGAATATTGAGGTCAGATTCTTTATTAGCCATGCAAAGATTAAACAAGTGACCACACATCTTCATTGTTACTTCATCCCTTTCTGTGGTATTTGTAGTTAATTTTTAATTGCACTTTTTAAAGCATGGTCAAAATACAAACATTTATAAGTGAAAATATTTCACTCTGAGGATGTGTTTATTTGTGGCTGCTATAACAGTAGCAGTTTTTCTTTGGAGTAATAAAAATTGAGATAATGTTTCAACGTCAAAAATTAATTCAGTATTCTCTTATGGATGAAAACTGAATGATCAAAACTGATCACATGCTAATATAATGCAGAACATTTGGAACAGTTATTGACAATGTCCAATTAAAGTATTTCTTGTATGTTCATAGTACCACAGCTATTTCATTACAATCCACACATTCCTCTTTGAAGAATCCATGAAAAGGGACTCAGCTTAAGTAAAATGATGGCTATATAATGAAATTGTGATTTATGATAAAGAAAAGGAAAGAAACTTGTCCTTAAGCAATTTTGCAGATCCACATCTGTTTTTTGAGAGGCAAAGTTAATTCTTCCGAAAGTAGAACACTTCTTCAGTTTGACAACAAGCATTGAATTCTGTGCAAATCCTTGTGTGTGACTTAAACAGCTTTTCATAGGGTAAGCATTGTACAGTTTCAAGAGGCACACATGAATTAATGAGGTCCAAACACTCAAAATTATGTGTTGCCTTCTTATGTTGCTTCATTCCCTCATGCAAATACCAAAGAATGACCTTCATTTGTCATGAAACACTCTTATCAGGATTTGTGAGTATTGTCTTATTTTACGATGAACTAAATTCCCAAGATAGGGTGAAACATGCTTTAGGAACCATTTGCATTTTTCCTTTACATATCCTTCTCTACCATGGCCTCAGGAGAACTCTTCTTCCAGAAATATTAAGCAGTTTGTAGTAAGGCGGGCTCTATTTAAGACATTCAGTAGTCCTCAAGAAATTCACAGATTCATGTTCTCCTATGGCTGCTCTACAAAATGAAGCCTAGTGCCATGCACAAACTTGTCCAGAGAATGAGTAACTTATGTGAGCAACTTGGAGAATTACATGGAGGACTTCGGTTGTGAGAGAGGCTTGCTTAACTAAGGTAGGAAGCATGTGAGTCATATGAAGCATAGGTAAAAAGACAGTAGTGACACTTCAACTTCTGCTTTGAGTTGCCCTGATTCTAATACCCTTCATAGGAACAGTATGCTTCTGTGTGTTTTCCAACGACAGCTTAAAATCTCTGGCCTGTGTGATGGCAGGACCTAAATGCAGGAAATTTGCACCTGAATCACCTACCCTTCTGGCCTATTGTTAGCAGCAGTGGCTGTTTTGTGTCTTGCAGGTATCACAGAATTACAGAATGGCCTGAGTTGAAAAGGACCACAATGATTATCCAGTTCCAACCTCCTGCTGTGTGCAGGGTCACCAACCATCAGACCAGGCTGCTCAGAGCCACATCCAGCCTGGCCTTGAATGCCTCCAGGGATGGGGAATCCACAACCTCCCTTGGGCAACCTGTTCCAGTGTGTCACCACTCTCTGAGTGAAAAACTTCCCCCTAATATCTAATCTAAACCTCCCTTGCCTCAGTTTAAATCCATTTCCCTTTGTCCTATTGCTATCCACCCTCGTAATCAGTTGTTCCTCCTTCTGTTTATATGTTCCCTTCAAGCACATAAACGAAGGTGGCCTTCAGATCATGAGCAGATCATTTCTGTGCAGGACTGTTGACTCTTTCTTCTCTTGTTCATGAAGAATCCTCTGGAGTGGTCCCTTGTTTGAGGGTGATTTTTTCTGATTTTTAAAAAATATTTATAATTATGTTAAAATAATTTTATGATTGCATATGGGGTTGCTAATACTTCACAGACTGTATTACTTCAGTGACAAATCATACTCAAAGCTTTCTTCAGTACACTGACGTGCTAATTGCAGTACTTGATATTGGAAGTGCCACATGTATAATTTCATAGTAGGATTTCTTAGATTTAGATGTAATAAAATATCTGCAGTTACTGATGTGGCTACTTCAGTTGACATGTAGCAGGTACCTCATGCAATGCAATGAATAACATGAATATTCATGAAATAACCCACATAGACATTTGCCTTCGTATTTCCAAAGCCTATTGCTTCATTGGTATGATTTATCTCCCTCTGCAGGCATTTTCTCAGAAATTGCCCTCAGGATGGTAAGATTCATGGGTCTTACGTAGTTCTGTGAAAGTGATGAGTTGCTATAGATCTTCTCTAGGCATTTCTGATATCTCAAATTCATAGTCTTAGCATCTGCGTAAAACTGCAACTGCTCTAGCTACTTGTAGCTGTATTTTCAGCCAGTACTTATCTGGCCAATTATAATAGATATAATTTCATACTTCATTTCTGTTGCTTTAAAACTGCTGTAAATGCAGTGCTCACTAAAAGAACGTTACTGGCTTCATAGTAATGCAAAGATGTGAAAGCAAGTTTTAAGTCTTTTTTCTAACGCAATGCTTTTCTGTGCTTTCAGTCAACTATAGCTTCTAACATAATACTACCAGAAATTAAATAAGTCATCTTTAACACCAGAATAATGAATAAATCACTGAGCAGAATAAGGAGAGAGACAGTGTTTTCCCATGTTACACAAACAGAGAAAGATTAAGTTTATGGGTTTTGCTCCTCTCGGAATTGATGTTGTGGTATTTCTGTTTGATTTCTGCCACAAAGGGAGGGAAAGCTCAATACTGCATCAGCATTGTGCTCGGAAACACAGTGTGCTTCTTTTTTAATCATTCATTTTTGTTTACACTTCAGATCTGCACATCATTCAGTTACTACTGACAGCACTGTGCTGAGTGTAGGACTTCAGAGATACAGAATGCAGATGGAGCTCTTTACCATGCTGAAATACTTGCCTAATTTGTAGCTTTTGTCCTGCCTTTAAGCCCATTAAAAATAGTCTGAAATGTGGTGGGAAAAAGAGAGAGATACAGACTACACCTATATGCTTTATTCCTCTGAGAAGCAATTATCTTTGTTTTAGAAACTTCTTGCCTTGTTCTCTTTGCCAGGAGAATCAGATGAAGACTGCATGTAACATAGTATCTGACTGCATGTTGGTCACATGTGTGTTACAGGACAGGGCAATTTTCCCTCCATTATAACAATCTCAAAGTTTTCCATTTACTTCTCCTTAAAAAAAAAAAAAAAAAAAAAAAAAAAAAAAAAAAAAAAAAAACTAAAAGAAAAGAACTGCTTCTTGAAGATGAAGCAGATAGCAGACAGCACTATCATGTGAAATCAAACACCTGTGCACCTGTGTGGCTCACATTCATGGGTTGTTACAGATACCAGAACTTTGCACAGGCCTCAGACATATCAATAAAAGAAAATATCCATCAGGGATGCTAAATACTACACTGATACTATGCAGCTCTTACTCAGGCAGCTTCAGAGGTGCATACTGAGATGCTGGAGGCTGGGAAGTGCTGCCATGAGCTTGCCCTGTCTTCAGAGTCACCTGTGGGTATCTGTCACTGTCCACTAGCTGTGACCAAGTAGAAGCTGTGACCAGAGGGACAGCCTGTCTGCTGCTTTGGGAAAAAAGAGGCAGAGTTTGGTGCCAGGATAAGGTGTTGCCTTGGCTCCACCTGCAGCTGCGGTGGCTCTGCCTGCCCTCCGTGCGGACGGAGCAGAGCCCATGAAGCTGCATTATGGCAGCTGAGTGCTTGTTCCGGCGTGCCCTGGGACTCCCAGCGGGGAGCTTCCATATGTGAAACAGGCTGAGCTCAGCCAGCTCTGAGCCCACGCCAGGGAGCTCAGGGCTGTTTGGATCCACCCTCGCACACGGGCTGCAAGGGCCAGCAGATGCCTTAGGCAATGCAAAGGCCTTTCTGTAGCCAAGTCTGCTTGCTACACTATGAGCATTAAACATGTCTCAACATGGAGGCCAAATGGTGCCAGTAGCCCATGTCTGCCTACCTGCCTGCCTTCAGGAATTATTTTGAGCTCAAAGCAGAAGTAGCACACCCAATTTTGCTCTCTGGACCCCAGCTTGGCTACTGTGGCCCCTTTTCCTGCTGTGTCCCAGTGGCAGCTGGCGTATGACAGCCTCGTCCTCCCCTGCACCACGCAGGAGATGTACTCTCCTTCTACTGCAGCTGTGCTGCAGGACGTAGCTGAGTGCATGGGTACATGGACTTGAGCTGACACACTGTCATGGGCTGAATCAAGCCCTCTCCAGCACTGATAACAGCTCCTGGGAGCACAGCACAAAGACTTGATCTGGCTCCTTATTAAGGACATCCGAAGCCTAGCAGAAACAGTTAATTCACACGCAGGCTGTTCTGTGAGCAAGGCAACTATGCTGCTCCCAAACCTATCCCTGGAGGCAGAAGACTTGCATTTATCTGGCACTGCTCCCGAGGTAATACCTACAGCAGGTAGGCATTCAGGTAATTGGATCACTGTTGACTGAAAGCTGTTTATATGCCATTGTAATCCATCACTTTTTCATCAGTTGCAAAGGGTGATACGTAAAACACAGTGCATGATGAATCTGGTCACCTCTCTGTAATCCTTTACCAGGCCTCTCCAAATTCAGTTGTAAAGAAGTTGATGTTACACGTAAAAGATGTTTATATTATATACAGCATTTTTATGTTACATATATCACTCTATTCCATTCCATTCTGTTCTGTTCTATTCTGTTCTGTTTCCATTTCGTTCTAAACATATATACTCAAATTCAGATTTCAGTACAAATAATATTGCATCAGTCTTTATGATGCTCTAAAGCAGGGTTGCAGAATATCACACAGCTAGAAAAGTGTCTCAGAACAAAAGTCTCTGCACATTGTTACGTGTTAAAATAATCGGAGTTTGCCCTCTTTCGGTCACAAATAGTTGTACAGGAGAATTTTCATGAGCTTGTGGATTTTATGGAAATTGTCATATAAAAGGCTATTTAGCAAATTGGATATTTGATAAGTTATTTTTTTTTTTCAAAACATATTTTGTTATGGAACAGTCACATTCCAAAGTTTGTTTAAAAATCTCTTGCAACAAGAACAGATGAGAAAAATTGAAATTGTTTCCTTCCTCAGCTGTTTCCTTACACCATGTTAGATGTTACCTGGGTTGTATCTGGGATAATGTTTTTCCCATACATCATCTTCAGGAGCTGCTCAGGAGCTTCCTTTCCTGGGACCCATTTGACCAAAGCCAACGTGTCACAGTAGGAAGATGTTTTCAGCATCCATGTAGTGGTTGGAAAGGTAAGCTGGCACCATGCTGCTGGCTTGATGGAGTGAAAGTTTGCCCAAGTAAACTATCAAACATATGCCTGCCTACGTTTATTGTGGACGTTTGAAGAATTTACCATTATTTTTCCCAGAGGAAGTTTTAAAGCTCAGATACTACTGAATACCCAAGGCATAGGCATTTTCTTGTACATCAGGTATCTTCCTTATCCATGGGGAGTCCACTGCAGACTCTTGTTTCTACAGCTCACAGAGCCTTGAGTTGCCTGTATGTGTACTGTAGGCTGGATTTTAGGCTTCTCCATCTTCTGTCCTGGTTCTCAGTGTTTGTAGAGGGAGAAAAAGAGTTCAGTATTTCTGAATGGTGACAGTTCTAAGGATGACCAGTCATTTCAAATGTCAGAGCTGTTCCATGGGTCACTCCACCTCTGATTCATGTGGGCTTTTGATGCTGGCTTTACTTGTTGTTCCCTGTATTTCAGAGGTTACTTTATATCATCTCCTATGACTCTCATCTGGGATGGTTGTTGAATGTTACCCATTTCTTCCTAGACATGTTTGAAGTCGCAAAGAATTAAGTATTCTGACAGTCACAAGTTTCTGTTGTAATGTCTGTATTCAGGCTACTCCTCACTCCACACCAATATGCCAAGACCTTTTTTCGCTTTACATGGTTGTGCCACCCATGGTTGTGCCACACGTTAATTTACACCATTAAATCTGGAAAGGTCTGTGATCTTCAGATTTCAGAGCTACCATTTACCTTCATCTTAGTTTAATGTGGGACAGAATTGTTTTCCTCAGAGCCATCTGGTATGATGCTGTGTTTTGGTTCTAGGAGAAAAGCAAGCATATCATACTCGGAAGAAAACAACTCCCGGCTGAAACTAAGAAAACCTTGTTTTAAGACCTAGTGTGAACTGTGAGGCAGATGAGCTGAATATCCTCCAGAGAAATCTGCGCAATCCCGTGTACTCAGGTTATCCCCGTTGTTAAAACTGACCACTGCATGGCACTGTTGCACCAGTGTCGCTGCAGCATCAGGCGAGAGTGCAGGAAAGCATCTCTAGTTCTTCCACTCGGTGTCTACAGCCCCCTGCTGTATGAACAGCTCAGAACAGGGCACGTACTGCAATGTGGGAGCAGGTCCTACCTCTTCCCATCCTCTTTTCCTCCACCCAAAACCTGGTAAGAGCATCGTGTTCGACGTGATGGGATTTGAAAACTTGGATAAGGTAGGTGCTTCATGCTGTGTGCGTGTGTGCATATGTATCCTACGGCAAACCCAAAGGTTTGGTCCTGACAGTGGCCTGCAGAGGACAGACTGCCTTCTTCATTAATTCTCTGGTGCAGTTTTAATACCCAGGCCCAGATCTAGTTCTGGGGATGGCGTGTGCTACGGGCCCTCCTGGACATGGACACCTTTGTGGGGGAAAAGAGGCTTGTCCCAAGGAAACAAGGCAGACAGCCCTGCTTGGGTTCTGCACCACAGGTTTGTCCTTGGCTTGTTGCCCTGATAGCTATGCAAAGAAAGCAAAATAGGGTCTGGAACACAACGGGGTCTTGTTGAGTCAGAGGTCAGGAAGAACTCAGTATGTAACTTGCCATTAGGAAATTAAACCAGTTTCCAAGAGACCTCAAATCAAGATACTGAACCTTAAAGCCAAATATAAGCTTGACTGAGAGACCTTTTCACTAGGGCTTGAAGAAAAACACAAAGTTTGAAGACTTGGCAATGCTGGAGCTTGACATCCAGTTTCAAAGTTTACTGTTTGACTTCTCTGCCAGGCTTACTCCTATTAATTCTGCCTGAAAGACAAGTAATTTAGGCTGCAAAACCAACTTGCTGTTACAAGTTGGACTGCTGCTCCCACTCTGAGATACAGAGTTCCTTGAGCGCAGGGCTGACCTTGCAGCATTGTGAGTGGATGAGTTCCTACAGCATTTTGATCAAGGGCCGAGTCTTCCAGGGACATAACTTGGCTCCAAAATAATACAGCCTGCATGGATCAGAAACCAACTGTTGCAGATCTGGAGCTTCTGGCTCATATCTCCAAAAGAGCAATTGACAGCACTTGCAAGACTTTGAATCAGAAAACTAATGCTGAAGGTAATTTTTGATTAACTCTCTAGATGCTGTAAATGGAGCCAGATCCAGTTTTATATCTCATCTCTGCAGCACAGCAGGTCTATTTTATGTTTTTCAGTGAATCCTATACATGAACTCCTTTTACCCTGAGAATCAGCATGCTAGTACCCAGAATCTTAATGCAGTTATGGATGTATGTGCCCAGGACAACTTCATTTACTTCTTTTTCTTGAAATCCCATTTTTTTTTCAGTACTGAGTCAGGCTAAGGGGTGCACATGTACCAATTTCTTTTGTAATAACTTAATGCTAGAGTCATGTGCATAGGTTCAGTTTATATGGTAATCTTTAAAAATAACCAGCCTAAGTACTGAAAAACACATAGCAGGAGCTAGACCTGCATTAGCAGAGAAATCAACGTGATTTATTAATAGGTCTTATTTAAATCTCATTTCCATGCTTCTATGACTTTGTTAGGCTTTCACCTCATACAGGCACATGCCAGAAGTAATGGAGCGAGAGAAGAGACAAGCCCTTTTTCAGTTCACAGAACCCCAATTCTTTATTAATCACAGCTTGCTCACAATGACATACAGGAAAATAGCACTAATGAAGAGTAGAATATGCAGGCAGCAACCTCTGGGGGGGGTGGGAGGGGGCAGGGACAACTTCAAAACTGCAGCTATTTTGGGGACGATGTGTTAGGTTTCATGATACTGTACTTGGCACAAGCACCCTGTCTAGTCATTCCTGCTTCAGCCCTCTTAGTCATAGAATCATAGAATCACCAAGGTTAGAAAAGACCTCCAAGATCATTCAGTCCTAGCTGTCCGTCTCTAGGGTTGGCTAACACTGAAGAATAAAGGTCAAGACAAATGGAAGTCAGCAGTGTGAAAAAAAAAAAGGTAACATCTGGTTCAAGGGTTCCCGGTGAAATATTTGATTGCCTCTTTTAATGTTACACATGTACTACAGCAGCATCAGAGAAGTATCATAGATCATGGCACCTACAAATAAAGCCACTTGATGCTATCTATTAGTTGCTTCATTAATAAATTTTCAAGTGGTAGATTAAGCTCACTTTACAATTAGCACTTATATGGCTGTTTGGCATCATTCAGAATTTGTCATAGCTTGATGGTTACAATGTGCCTTTTAAATTCATTTCAAACTGATACCACTTGCTTTCATTCAGTTGCAAAGCTGTTATTTGTTGCCTCTTGCTTCAGAAAGCAGAAGCACCAAGTAGTGCACATGGTGATTTAACTTCAGTTATACAGCATGCTACAGAGTTCTGTAGCGCGAGTTGCATTTGAAGAAACTATATTTTAAGAGTCTCTTGTCTTGGACAGCTGAATGTGAAGTCACGACACCTGTGATCTAGTCACTGTTTCAACAAAGCTCGTTGATGGCAAAGCAGCCTAGGTTGTTAGGCAATGACTGGTCTCTAGCACCATAGAACTACTACTGACCTCGTGGTGAGTTGGAATGAAAGTCGCAGGGAATGGAGTTAGACATGAGGTGCTTCAAATGGACAGATCCAGCAAATTCAATTGAGTGGAAATAGACAACATCAGAAGCCTGTTACAGGACATGTAAGATTATGAAATAACTTGCATAATGCAATACTTGTATTTTTTAACAAAAATGTAAGTATTTACAAAATAAGATCCAAGTTTTTTAAACATCAAGCAAATCATTCTGCAAAGAGACCGCATTGATTTTGTTTTATTTTTTGTTTCTTTTTTTAAAGTTTTTATTGAGTTCTTGATTTTTTTTTTTTTTAAACCATGTCATACATTTCCCATACTGATATCGCATGATCCATAATAATATAGGCAGGGGGAGTTTACTAATGGTGGGGATGGGTCACATCCACCATTGCTGTTCTCAGCCAGACAGTTCCACCTGGAGCTCCTTGTTTCTACGCACCTCTGCAGCATGCCTCTCCTGGAAAACATCAAGAAAGGAAAAATCAAACTCATCTTGCATGCCAAGGGAGGTTCCTGTTGATAACATAGCTGAGCTATCCTATCCTATCCTATCCTATCCTATCCTATCCTATCCTATCCTATCCTATCCTATCCTATCCTATCCTATCCTATCCTATCCTATCCTATCTTCTCCATTCCATTCCATTCCATTCCATTCCATTCCATTCCATTCCATTCCATTCCATTCCATTCCATTCCATTCCATCCTCCTTAGACTGAACAATGAAGTTGGCTATCCCCTCTGTCTTTCTTCTGCTATGATGAAGCTGGGGAGGAGACACCAGAAGTCAATGCTGTGCCCTTCTGTCCAGTTATATCCATGTTGTCTTTTCTTTTACTAAACCAGTCCTGACTTGTTTAGACTTATTTGACCCACTGTATATTCAAATACTTCTGTGAAAACGGGTCTGTGGTCAGGAACAACAGCTGTCAAATGAATTTAGGAAATATTCCATTCAGGGTGTTTATAAAACTGTATAATTTTTGGCAGCTTCAAGATTTTAGGGTTTTTGATTTGTGCCTCTTGTTTTTCAGCTGTCAAACTGTCAGATTTTTACCATTTCTATATGATCAGTGGAAAAAAAAAGGTTAGAAAATTAAATGACAAGTCACAAGATGACTAGAGAAGCAACTCATCATAGCTGATTTCTGTTTAAGGAACTTCCTAGATATTTTCATACATTAGGGGATATTCTATGGGGATTAGTAAAAAATTCAATTAATTCAACAGGAATCTTTTTATTGGCTGAGTTAAGCTATGGATTATAGGCCAACACAGCTTATTGTATCATCTGAGTCTGTAAATCACAGTTTCTTATAAGATTCATAACTTTAAGTGCCAGATTTTCTAAGGGGCCTGTTCCTCAGGGCTCCAGTTAATTGCAGAATGCAAAAGTTATCTTTGATCTTATAGGAGCTTCTAGGCACCATAACCTTGAGGCATCCACAGTTCTGGTCACTCTTGAAGACATTTCACATCATCTTTTCCTGCATAGTAAGAGTTGGCTGTTGTGCTGACAAAAACTATATAGCCATGTAGTATTTAATTTTTGGTCTGTACAAATATTCTCAAATGAGTTATCATAGTCTTTGTTAAAAAACCTTCTTTGTATTTCATGAACATCTGCCATGATATTGCTGAAGAAGAGATTAACAGCCTGTAAATGTGAGCATAGCATCGAGATGCTCCAGCTGTCTGTCCCATTTCCTTTTGGATCTCCAGGATGGCTAATTGCCTTTTCCCTTTGTTTTCATAAGCTTTGGGATATGTGCCTGTAAACACATCTACTGAGAAAATAAGTAATTTCAGTACAATTCTTAAACTCCACAATTATTTAGTTTGCATATTCACTTAAAACTTTGGGAAACAATGGTTTCTTTTTTGCTGCATGACACTACTGTTTCCATCAAAGAAAGAAGCATTTAGAGAGGTCTCACTGGAAGTGACTGGGAGCTATTTTATTTCTATTAATCATTTATTTTCAAAAATACTAGAAAGTTCATTGGTGAGAGAAATAAATGTAAATTATCTTTTTGTTAACTCTTCTGAACATTAATTCTCATGCCTTCCTTTCTTGTTTAGGAGGGGTGATTTGGAAAAGGGTACATTTGGCTCTCAACTGTGTATTTTGTAATTTACTGGATTCTCAAGAGGAATTCCTATGGCTGTACCAAAGATCTTCAAAAGAAAGCTTACACTGTATTAGTTACAAGACTTACTGGAAGAATTTAATGTATAGGAAAGAATTTTTCATAATTTTTTCACTCTTTCCCCATCAGAAGTCAAGAAGTATACACAGGATAAATGTTTAATTTGACCACTGAGTTCCTCTCCAGGTGCAAGGGAAATGAATGTAAATATCTGAAGGAAGGTTGTAAAGGGTTGTAAGACAAGAAGCAGTGTACACAAATTGGAATACAGGAGGCTAACTCTGAACACTGGGAAGCACTTTTGTGCTGTGCAGGTGATGGAGAACTGATGCAGGTTGTCCAGAAGTTGCAGAGTCCCTTTCTTGGAGACCTCCATTAACCACCTGATGTGATCTGGGCCCCCTGTGTTGGTCGTTTCTGCTGGAGCGGGGTCTGGGCCAGATGGATCCAGTGGTCCCTGCCAACCTGTGATTTCCCAAAAGTGGCTTAGATAGGCATCAGGG